CATTTCGTAAATGAGACACTGGAAATTGAAATTTGTCATCTTCAATGTTCATACATTGTTTCAATCGAAGCCGGTTTGGACCATCCGTACTTCTCTTAGCTGCTGCTTTTCATAACATTTAATTAGGTTCTTAAAATGGTCATTGCTTCACAGTTACACCCGATTACAGTTATAACTGACATATACACCTACGGTTAACTTCATTCTTGACCAGCCCCTTAAGGGAACAAATTATGGTACAGTCACATTTATATCGGGAAATTGAAAACTGTAGAACGAAATACCAGTGAACTAAAGCAGGGATAAAACAATGACAGACCTTAAACTTGTCCAGTTGTCCTTGTTCAAAGTTATCAGTGGCATTACCAAGCGGTTCTTCATCTGTCTTTCCTCTGTCTCCATACAATGTCATGAAAACATTAGCATCTGTTCCAGCGCCTCTCATGTCACTGGTCCACACCCACACATTCCAAACAGTTTCTACCAAAAAAACCTCTTACTTAGTCAAGTAAGGCTTGAAAAAAGACTTGAATTCCAGCTTGCCCATGGGACAAGTAGCTCTCAAATTTTGCTTGCCCTGGGCAAGTCTTAGTTTTCTCTTTTAATGATTTAGTTGGCAGATGACTTGCCTCGTCCCTTGCCCATTGGGCAAGTGAGAATGAAAAGTTTCTTGTCCAGCAGGAAAAGCTACCGGTACTTGTTGTGGACAACTGGACAGCACTTTTTTCAAGCCCTGTCAAGGGATACCAGAACTAGTTGATGGTCTCCAAGACTAAACTGAGTCTGAGGTTTATATCTCAAGCTCGCTAATGGTGTGACCATTTTCAGTGCAGGTGCCAGCGCTAGCCTTTGATTGGATAAAATCAATCAGAAACTTAACGAATGTTTTAAGGAAGATTAACCGAACGCAGCACTTGTGCCCAAAATTATGTCTAAAAAATCTGAACATCCCACTTTTAGCCATTCAGCTATCTTCACCCAATCACTGAAGTCACACTGCTGCGGTGAGTTCCCTTCCAATAACAGTCTCCCCCCTCCTTGACAAAAAATTCCCTTATACATATTCAAAGGTCAGAAATACAAGTCATGTATTTCGAATTTATAGAAAAGCAAAAACGATATTTAAATATTATGATGATCATACTTGGACGTCTTTTCAGCCTCATGTCTTCAGACTCGTAGAGATCTCTCTCAATCAACTGGTCGCCTTCATCATCAGCCAGCCACTTCTGACATAAAAACACCTGCTGGTGACCACTGCTTGGGCAGTCAACTACAACCTAAAAGAGACAACAGTCTTTAGCATTAAAAGGGTTGATTGAAAACCAGAACTGTCCATGCACTGTTCTCTTTAGTTTTGTTAACGTTGGGCAAATGCTGAATGTCCTCTATAGCTAAACGTCTCCACTATGGCCACCCTGGGGCAGAGTGAGCTGGCCACTGCAGGGAGGGGCTGTTGTAGGGAGGTTTTGATTTGAGTAAAAAGTATGGACAGGCACAGGGATGTGATGAAAAATCCCGGCTGTTGAACTGTTCTGTAGAGGTGGCTGCTACAGTGTATACAGAGGTATCAAAAGAGGAGGTTGGGCTGTATTTCACTGCTGTTGGTAGACGAACAATCCATCACTTGGGAATCTTGTCTTTACAATGATAAGAGGGGCCACCATCAAAGAATCAAATAGCCACTCTGTAGGTCTATTTGTGCCTTGTAAGTAATGCACTTTTGGCCCCTAATGGTGAGTGACAAATTACTTAACAAAAGTTTAGCAATGATAGGAAGAGCCATCAATGAAATGCCAAGCAGCCAAATACACACAGCTAGTTTGTAAAGTAAACTTAATATTAACATCAACTTCATCAAAAAGAAAATGACTTGACGATTGCATGTAGCCTGCTACACAATTTTGGGTAATAAAAAACGTTTGGGGTTTCTGTTATAGAAATCAAATGGCAATGCATGTGATATTCCTACCTTTTCACAGTACCATCCTGAACCAAGTCCACTGTTATCATGCCCAATTGTCAAATGATGCAAAGGACTTAGCATTTCCGTTGTTTCTACAGTAAAAATATCTGTTCTTCCTTTCTCAAAGTTGTCCTTCTCTTCGTTTTGTAACCAAAGTTTACCACTATTTCTTTCACCATCTTCTCCCCCGTGAAGGATAACATACACACGTGCATTGGTAGATGCATTTCTGACATCTCCGGTGGTCACATGAACATGATACGGAATTCCTAGATGATCAACACAACGCCATTAATGCTATTTCTAGTGTAGTCAGCTTTATGCTACTCTATATCACTAAAGAGTATGTACAGTATGTGAGAGATATAGGTACAGGCATTAAGCCCGTTTGAGGCCCAGTTGTACGAATTATTCGTCTTCAGAGACCTTACAAGCACTGTAACACCAAAGTACCGAGGTACATGTAAAGCCAAAGCCGATTACAAGTCTGTCTTGCTTCGTCTACAAGTACATTTACACAAGCATTTGTACATGTATGTAGATCAACATGGACAAGAAGCATTGCTGACCCACTTGCATACAATTATCTTATTCACCTTTATCAGTAACCATGTCTCCATCTTGGCCATCTGCTCTGCTCAGTTCACGAGAGATCTGGCCATCATCTTCATTTTTGGCAAACCACCGTCGGCATGGAAAATCAACAGCGTCCCCTGTCTTGGGATCCTCAACAGTTACCTGAAAAGCAAGTCAGTACAAGACAATTGTCAAATTAAATTACAAAAAAATACAGTGTACATTAAAATACACAAGTTGCTACATGTATATAAAGACAGAAACAAACAAAATCCAATGTTCTCTGTCAAAATAACTTGCCTTGTTTAAAAACCAGCCAGGGCCAAGCCCACTGTTATCATGACCAATCCTTATCTTGGTCAGTCGTCCAAGATATGTACCACACACTACTTTAAAAGAATCTTTCCTAGAAAAAGCAAATGCACAGACAGTTACTTGTAACAAATTTTGCAGAACAGTGTAGAACAATTCTATCGTCAAAAACCAACTCCAATGGTACGACATCATCCTGTACCTCTCTGAAGAATAAGCAGGAGTTTCATTAATGTTTTCAGCAGGAGGACAAATGGTTTTCACAGGTGGGCAAAACTTTTTGAATTGAATTTCTTTATAAGAACTTTTTTCTCTACATAGTCAAATGAGGGGGGTGAAATTGTCCCCGTGGCCAGTCAATTTGCCCGCTTTCCGGTCCTTCATGAAACTCCTGAATAGAGGGACATTAATTTTTAGTCCTTCAAGATTCTCTCTCTGTTGCCACCATTACTGCCCTAACCTAAGAATGCAGGGTTTTTGATTTGAAATAAAGCAGCAGAAGGAAATCTTAAAGTAGGCAGAGCACTATTGGATTGCGAAAAAAGTGGCCATGTGCACGTTGGGAATCAAAGAATGCCTTAGTGGGTTACCCCGTCTGATAAGGGAGGGGGTGCTGGAGCTGGAAAATTTCTGAAATCTGTGTGCCTTGAGGTGCATTCTCTTCAGTTATTTCCTCAGAAAGAAAACGTTGGTGAAACAAAAATGCATATTAATTAACAAACTTGATGCAAAAAGTACCCCGGGCAAATGCTTGAAGTAACCAGTGAGTTGCGTTAGACCCCAGCTTATTTTGAAAACCCTGAGAATGAAAAACTATCCCCCTTTGTCCCTTTTTTCACTGCCCCCCTCCATGCCCCTCTGGGTATGCCTGTCTTGAATTTCCCCTCTACAATGTTTGATAAACAGTAAAAGGAAAACTTTCACCTATAATAATAGGGCTTCATTTGAGAATTCTGGATCTCCGACACACAATATAGTACATGAGAGATGAACCAACTGTGCACTGTTAAGATACACAATTGGTTCAAAATTACCCAGTACACTTTACTACTACAAAACATACACATGTCGCTTGCCTAGTGTGCCACTATATGTAATACTTGAAACAAGAGTTAGTACATACTTTCCACGTTCAAAGTTATTTCTGGCATTATCTAACTTCTTCTCTCCTGAGTCACCCTCTTCCCCAAATATGGTAATGACGACATTAGCATCAGTTCCAGCACCCCTCTTGTCACCAGTGAAGGTGTGAACAAGGTACTGGTGGCCTGGAGACAAGAAGACAACAATGTAGTCATGTGCGATCAACAATGTACACATAATTATAAGCTTACATGTACATATTGTATGTAAATCAAGAGAATTCTCTAAACACTGTCCATATTCTCAATTCCTGTCCAACTGATGATGTACATGTATCTAAGACCAAAATGATTAAGGGTTGTTAGTTACCTTGAAATGCAGCTGAAGAATCAGTTGATGCCGTCAGCTGCCTCACTATCTGCCCATCTCCTTCGTCCTTAGCTAGCCATTGATTACATGGAAAGTAGAATTTACGTTCCTCTTTCTCACGGTAATACACAATTATCTGAAATAAAAATTGGTGACAAAAAAATCAGTTGTACTGTAGAGTAACATGTATACATAACCAAGTGAACTCTAGGAAGGTTACCCACACATCATTCTTAGAAGTTTAAATAAATTAGTGACACACTTACTACAGAAAACTGGGCATGGGGTATTCTTAGAGAATAGACACTAGACACTTACTAACTTACGTAAGGTAAGTCTACATCGGGCCAAGTGGTCCATACACTGTACTGCCAGAGCTGTCCTGGTTTCTATAGCATGAAGCAACCGGGAGTATTTC